TCTCACTAAGTCAGCCCGCTTCCGCATTGTAAGAATTAAATGGTAGCAAGTACGAACAGAAAAATATCCGTTCTTCGTATAGTGCCATATCATCTTGTCTTTTGCATATGTACTCCCAATTGGGACCGCGAGGATCCGATTTCTATCAATTGGCCAAAATGTAGCATTGATCAGCGAAATATTCCAAGAGCGAGTTGGTTGATCAATAATGTCTGATACTTTATCAGGAAACGCATTATGAATCGGTCTCCGTGTGATCACCTTGAAAGAAGTTTCATCTGTAAGCCATCGGTCTCCCCAAATTGAGATGACTAGTCCCGTCTCCAATTCTACTTCGCATACCAGACTTTAAATACGGCATAGCCGTAAGAATACTTCGCCAAGTGATAGAGGGTCAAGTTCCAATTCCCGCCGAAAAAATATCCCCCCTGTGGAAAGTACTTTGCTTTGAAAACTCGAGTGAATAGAAGATTCGGTTGCGTCACCAATCTCCATGCTTGTTTTGCCAAGAGAGCCAGGTTGAAACTGTGCAAGTCATGAAAGCCCATACCCCCAATAGTCTTTCCCTTACACATTTTTTCCCACGACATCCACGCCATTCCCCGAGCTTTCCCGTCCCCCCACCAAAACCTTTTAATTGCCGATTCTAGATCTCGAATGAGTCCTTGTGGTATAAGAAAACAGCTCATTACGTACGAAGGAATAGACTGGAGGACGACTTTAATTAGCACTTCTTTTCCTGCCCTAGACAACTGCTTCTCACCCCAACCTTTGATTCTCGCCCACACTCGATCCCGAAGAAAGCTACAAATCTCCTTTCGAGGTTCGGCCCATGGAAGCTGGCATACCAAGGTATTTTTCGTGGCAATCAACTACTTGGAATCCTAAAATATGATGAATATGGTTCTTTATCTCAGAAGGAGTTGATGGACTAAATACCATCGTCGATTTCTCAAAATTAATTTATTGCCCAGAGGTTCGTGCATATTTGTCCACAATATGTTTCAGTATAGTCGCATCCTCCCTACTAGCTTCACAGAAAATGAGGGTGTCATCTGCAAAGCATAGGTTAGTCACAACCGAGGCCAATGGGGCGATTTTGATTCCATGTAGTCGTTCCTCGCCAGCTGCTCGTTGTACCATGGAAATTAAAGCTTCAGCACAAAGGATGAAAAGATATAGGGAGAGAGGATCGCCTTGGCGAAGACCCCTTGATGGGTGCACATGTCCAAACTGAGATCCATTCATCAAGAAAGAGTAAGAAACCGAGGAAATACATAGCATAATAAGCTCAATAAAATTAACAGGGAAGCCAAGTCGGATTAAGGTTTTTTTCAAAAAGAGCCATTCGATCCGATCGTAGGCTTTACTTATGTCCAGTTTAATAGCCATGTGACTAACTCTATTACTCGGGTTTGACATTATGAAATGATTAATCTCAAAAGCTACAAGCACATTATCATTACTGAGTCGATTAGGAACAAAGGTTGACTGGGTGGGAGACTTAAATAATAAGGACTAATTAATGAGACTTTATGTTACAAATGTATGGAATAAAGCTTGAGGAATACACAAAGTTGCAACTTATTCAATAAAACACGTATTTGTAGCACTTGCAATAATCAGTTAGAATTGTTTGTCAATTGTTAATAAGAAGTATTATTGAACTGCCCTTAAAAATTTACTTGTTTAGAGGGCATTTTTGTAAGTACAAAAAGGAAAAGAAACCTTCCTAAACATTCACACTTTTATAAGTAGTGTAGATATAGATATAGATTATCCCGAAAGATCCTTGAATAATTATGATGAAAAACCAATGTTTTGAAAACCGGACCGGACCGGCCGGTTCGACCGGTTCAACCGCGAACCGCTGCCATGTCCGGTCCGGTTAGATCTAAAAACCCAAAAACGCCAAAAAACCGGGTCAACTATCAAAATCCCGGTTCGACCGGTAAGAACCGGAAAACCCGGAACCCAGTCGTAGAACCGGGTTTTAGCTAAAAAATACATGTCTTGGCCGGATCTGCGTCGATGGTGGCTGAATCTCGTCGGAGAAGGACAGAAGGTTGTAGATGAACAGATCTAGACGGATCTTAGTCGTATGTGGCACAATAGAAGTGATGGCCGCCATATCTATCGACTGAAGAAAATGAAAGGATGAAGGTGAAAGTTAAAATGAATAGAAAAATTAAAACGAAGTGGAGAAATGTGGCGGCGGTGAGAAGAAAGAACTGGGAAGAAAGAAAGGAAGAAGAAGAAGAAAAGAAGAAAAGAAGAAATAAAGAAAAGAAGAAAGAGAGTAGTGTGGTTCTCGTGAAAAGTGTAGAGGAAAAGGTTATTATATTATAAATTATTGTTTCCTATTAAATAAAAAAATTATAAATTATATTTTAATAAGAAAAAAAAATGGTGGCAGTAAGTTGGAAAAATAAATTGACAAAAGTGGGAAGAAATAATAAAAAGAAATAAGAAATATTTTTATTTAAGGTATTAAATTAATAAAATAATTATATGAAAAAAAAAAGTAAAAAACCCGGTCGGACCTCGGTTGAACCGGTCCGACCGTGACCCAGTTAGTTGTCCGGTTCGACTTCCGGTCCGGTTTTCAAAACATTGTGAAAAACCCCATGCGTGTTAATATTTTTAGTTTAATGCAACGTAACATCTCTCGATCACTTAATTAATAATCGGTTGATAGAAGAATTCTTTCTCCTCGAAAACTCTCTCACCCCGCCCCCCTGCCTTGATCAATTCCCACCCTAACCAACACAAACAGTCAAATATATATATATATATATATATATATATATATATATATATATATATATATATATATATATATATATATATATATATATATATATATATATATATATATATATATATATATATATATATATATATATATATGTGTATATATATATGTATATATATATATGTATATGTATGTTAAATTAAGAACTAATTAAAATTATTTTCAATTAGTTCCACTTCCACTTTTCAGTGGAAGTGAAGTCAACGCCGGAAACCGGCGGTCGACGCCGGAATCTGGCCAGAAAAAAAACATTTCAGAAAAAAAATTATTTTCTAAAAAAAAATTTGGGGGTTAATGTGATATATTTGTTTAAATCCGGGGTCAATGTGTAATATTAAGGAAGTTAGAACATAATGGGTCGAATTGATAACAATTATATTATGGTGGGTATTTTAGACAAAATACATGGGGATGAGTTTAATTGAGAGACTGTTTTTTTTTATGGACCAAAATACATTTAAGTTCCATGTGATAGGTTTTTTTGCCATTCGCCCATTTTTAATACAATTTAAATTTTCTTTAATGCTACCTGTGCAAGGAGAGAATGGCTAATTATTTTTAAATTTAACATCTTTTATAAAAACTATCAAACACCATTTTTAAATATAAGATCTTTTAAACAACCTATCAAACACCTTTTAACATCTTATATAAATTCATGTTAAGTATCTTATAAGATATTTTTCAGATCTTATAAGCATAGCCGAACAGGCTCTAAATGATGAAAAAATAAAAAGTATAAACTATGTTAATCACTTAATCTTTATATGTAAAAAAAAATGCTAGCTCATCAACCCTAGATAACTCTAATGCCTCGTAAAAAAAAACTTCTTTTTTTCTACTAATTTTCTCTTCTAAAATTCCATTTTTTTTGCTTTGTTGTCTCAAGGGAACGCCTATGTTTCTTTGTTGTCTCCACTAATTTTGTTTTTTAAGGCTTTAAATGTCATTTAACCTTTTCTTACCCCATCTTACGATGATTATGAAGAACAAAAAACAAATTTTGTCGAATTTGGAAGAAAATTTTGTCTAATTTGGAAGCGAATTTCATCAAATTGGAAAGTAGATAATTTTGTTGATTTGGGAACCCTAAGTAACTCCGAAAGGGGGATTTTCAAGCGAAAAAAAGTAAAATGACATATGCACCTTTAATTGAGCGAGACTTTAAAAAATACACATTTGGACAAAGTGCACTCAATTGTGTATTTTGAAGGGAGACAATCTCATTTTTGTAATATTAAGGGTGGGAAAGTGCAAAAATGAATTCTTTTGAGGGTGCGAAGTGCAATTTGTCCTTTGGGATAGTAAAGGAAAACAATTGCAACCTAAATATTATAGCGTCAAAAGAAAGCCATGCATGCAAAGAGTAGCCTAACCCTAATACATGTGGCGTCAAAAGAAAGCCAAAGAAAAGAGTTATTATCCTAACCTAATATCAGTGTTCTAAAAATCGGCCGAGGCGGCCGATTAATCGGTCGCCGAGGCGGAGGCGGTCCAAAACCTTTACGATTTTAGTGTAAAGGTTTGAAAAATCGGTTTTTTGCCTGTGAGGCGGTTTGAGGCGGTCTGAGGCGGTCCGAGGCGGTCAAACCTTTAAGGCGGGTCAAACTTCGGTGGCAAAAATCGGCAAAAAATTGGTCAAAAATCGGTTTTTTTTTTTTTTTTTTTTGTTTTTTTATAAATCAAAATAAAAGTTGGGATTTTAATAAAAAAAAAAAAGAATTTATGCTTTATTTTGTTTATGTTAATTATTATTGTTAAAGAACTAATGATGTATGTCAAGAATGTATGTAAATTAAAAAAAAAATGCCTTTTTATTTATATTTTATAAGGATATTTATGTATTATGATCTTATTATTATTAAACTTTTATTATGTTATTAGAATATATACATGATCGAGATATAACTATGTTTAAATATTTTTTATCTATGTTTTGAGTATTTATAAATAATATCTACAAATATATTATATTAAATTTTAAAAACCGATTTATTTCCGATTTATCACCGATTAATCACCGCCGCACCGATTAATCGTGAGTCGGTGCCTGACCGACTCGGACCCGATTACCGATTTTTTCAACCTTGCCTAATATACATCTGCGTCAAAACAAAGCTAAAACAGTAACCTTTATAAAATCTCCCTTCAAGAACACACACACTACCACACCTCCAGAACCAACGCACAAAACCACCAGAAGATCACAATGGAGCACCACACCTCCTTCTGGTTCCGCCAACCCATCTTCTATCCCAAACCTAATCCAATGTCTGAGGTCCGGGACCACATCCCGAACCAGAACGACGTGTCCTTATCACTGGCGAGCCACGTCATCGCCACCCACGCCAGGGACAAAAACCTCGTGCTCTCGCCCCTGTCCATCAACGTCGTACTGGGCATGATTGCATCCGGGTCGAGCGGCCCGACCCGAGACCAGATGCTCGGCTTTCTCAAGTCCGAGTCCGTCGAAGAACTCAATTCCCTCTCGGCAAAGCTCGTGGCTCACCTGTTCACCGACGGTGGGCCGCTCGGTGGGCCCAGTTTGTCCGCCGCTAACGGCGTTTGGATTGATCAACGTCTCCGCTTCAAGCCCGCTTTCGGAGAAATTATCCGGAATTCTTACAAGGCTGCTTCTAATCATGCTGATTTTCAATATAAGGTTATTTTCTTCTAACCCCGGCTTGTTATTTTTCGATTTTATAGGCTTTTGAATTTTAATTTTTTTTCACATCTTATACATGATTTCAAGGTTTATTTTTGTTTCTACAAAAATTTAAAATTATGATGGGTCCGCCGGGGAGTTAGATGCTACATCTGGTTATTTATACCGGGTGGATTTGAACCGTAGATTTTATTAAATAATTACTCACTAATCATACATACATATGTGTGTGATTATGTGTAGATTTACAGTTTAAATCCACCCAGTGCAAATAACCAGGTGGGTACATGTTCTAGGGAGGGTTATTATAAATTTATAGAAGATGCAAGAATTTGTATGTAGTCATGATAAACTTTGCTAGTTGCTTTTCTTAGTGAATTTATACTTGCAACAATTTATATGCTAATTATTTAATCTTTTTACCTTGATGATTTTCTAACTAGGCTGAAGAAGTGAGAAAAGAAGTGAATGCATGGGCCGAAAACGAAACAAACGGCCTCGTGAAAGAAATACTCGAACCCGGTTCAGTCAACGATTTGACTCAGCTTATCTTCGCGAATGCAATCTATTTCAAAGGAGCTTGGTTACACGAACTCGAAGCAATACGTACTAAAGAGGCCGATTTTTTCCTCTCAAACGGAAGCTCAATCAAATCACCCTTCATGACATCCACCCTCAAGAAAAGGCAATGCATTCGCGAATTCGACGGTTTCAAAGTTTTGGGGCTACCCTACAAACAAGGCGAAGACCGCAACCGTAAATTCTCAATGTATTTCTTCCTTCCAGATGCCAGAGACGGACTCCCGGCTTTGCTAGAGAGAGTCGGGTCCGAATCAAGATTCATCGAAAACCACGTCCCGCATGAAGCGGTGTTGGTTGGTCGATTTCTAATCCCGAAATTCAAAATAGGTTTCGACTTCGAGGCTTCGAAAGTTCTCAAGGGACTTGGGGTGGTGCTCCCTTTTCGCATGGGTGGTCTGACGGAGATGATTGACTTTGGCGGGGAGTTTCTAGAGGTTTCGAAAATATTCCACAAGTCGTTCATCGAAGTGAACGAGCGAGGCACGGAAGCTGCAGCAGCTACGGTTGCTTTAATGGGGTTCGGTTGTAGTCGTGTGATTGAGAAGACGGTGGATTTTGTGGCTGATCATCCTTTCTTATTTGTTGTAAGAGAAGATATTAGTGGTGCGGTTCTCTTCATTGGCCAGCTACTTAATCCCCTTGCTGAGTAATTTGCATGATTAGTAGAGTATGTTCCAAGGCAATTATTTTCTTCATAAAATAAAGGTTTATTTTAGTTTTTCTCAAGTATGATTTCTTTTAATTTCGTTACTTGGACCTCGTTTTGTTGGAAAGATTAGTCATGATTAACTAAATAATTGGACTTTGTTTGATGTTTGGTATCCCCAATAACCTGTCGGATCGACCCATAGATATTATGTTGTCTTGCCTTTGATAGAGTTTTCTTGTCGGACGTAGTAAATCGAATAAAATAATTAGGTTTTCATTAGATTTTTTAATATTATCTTAACTAATATTATATTGACACCCAAACAAGGCCTTGGCTATTATATCAGGGTGTTTTTGCGCTTTGCTACGTTAATTGTAAAAAAATTGCAGGGGCGCACCTAAATCCACTTTTTTTACGCATATAAGTACATGGGGTTTTTTCGTCTTTTAACCTCAAAATATCATATGGGATGAAACTGAATGTTCTGAGGACTTAATTAAACTTAATTTGAAACTTGCCAAAATTTGAAATCAATGCACCCAACTTTCCGCCGTCGCACCATCACCTGAAACGAGTTCGTTTTCACTCATCTTCCCCACAACAAATTCTGCCATAAAACCCAACACCAGGCATACCACTAATGAAAATTGGCAAGTACTTCCCTATCAAGAGAGGGGATTCTTTCTTAAGAAACAACTCGCACAATCATTTTCTTCATACAACTTCCACCGCTGCCACCAGAATGGTGAAGCTGAGAGTCAAAATTGGAGCTTTTTCTTCAAATCTTTTACATGAAAAAAGTGCTTAAGGCTTCATTTTCTTCCCTTTTTATTTTTCTGGAAACGAGTTTGAGGATTTGGGTTTGATTCATGATTTTTCTTGGGAAAAAAAAAATAAGTCAGAAAAAATGGGGCTAAAAAGATGGCTCTTTTTAAAAGATGAAGGACTGAATTAAAAATCTTAAAAACTTCATTTTGGAGCTGAAAAATTCTGGGGTGATTTGTAATTTTCAATTTCACCCCATATGATATATTCAGGTGAAAAGACGAAAAAAAACCATGTACTTTGCCATGTGCTTCGCGTATGTGCCGGAAAATGAGAAGATTCGCCACAATATTCCCCTAAAGTGGTTATGTGCGTCAAAAAGTGGGTTTGGATGTGCCTGTGCAATTTTTTTTAGTTATGGTGACTGAGCGCAAAAACAGGCAAAATGCTATTAATGCATTAATATAATCGTCGTCCCGGTACATATGTACCTGAAGGTTTTAATTCAATTATTGATTAGTTCACAACAAAATAATAAAAATACTACAAGTGCATAAAAATACTCTCCAACTTGATTGTCATAACTTCAACAACGGGAAATTCCTTCCGGTGTTTTAGGAACGGCGAGCGGTCATGACTCTGGCGTACCTGGAAGCTGACATCTGGCCTACGTCAAGTAGTAACGATAACGGCTATGATTATGGGTGGAGAAAGGAAGAAGCTGAAACATCTTTCTTTTTTTCCAACGTTTTATTTGTTTTTTTTTTTTTTTTTTTTTTTGCAAAATCGGTTTTATTGTATAAAAATTATAAAGATGTAAAGGAAAAAAAAATTACAAGACAAATTATATCTTTTAATGTGCAATATATGTATAATTTTGTTTTTATATTTTTTTTACTTTTAATATTTATAGAATGAAGAATCCATTATATTTATAAAATAAAAAGGAAAAATTAGAGAAAAAAACCCATCTAGGAAATATAGTTAAGGAAAGATCCCCTTCCAAAATAATTGGAGAAAACTCACTTAGCTAATATTCCACCCAAGTGATAATTTTATAATTGCAAAACTACCCTTAATTGTCTATTATACTCTTTCAAAACATTGATCTTATTTTTTATTTTCCATTCCGCTTTCTCGTTTCCAGCTTTCTCTCTTCTCTGTTTTTTCTCTATTTTCTCTGGTAAATCTTCTTCCCGCCGTTGCTGCCGCCGCCGCTGGAAGATGGAGAAAGAAAGAAGAGGAAACACTCGTCGTCGGCGTGTGGAGGAGAAGCACTATTCTTTCTCAACAGCTTGTTCCACCCCGTCGGCGTGTGAAGGAAGAAGAAGAGGAACAGGCTGTTGAGAAAGAAGAGGAATCACTCGTCGGAGGAGGAGAATCAGTGAAAACTGTTGATGAAGGTATTTGTTGTTTTTTTTTTTCCATTATTTTTTTAGTGTTGGTTTTGCCATGTGTTAAGAAATTGTTTATGGAGTGACCAACAATGGTTGACAAATACTTTGAATCGTTCTTGGTTTTTTTTTGTGGACATCGAAATGCGAATTTGTGTTTTTTGTATGAATTATCTATGTTATTTATTTTATTTTTGTTAGGAATTGGTTGAATAGTGTGGTGTGGCGGCGGTGTGGTGACGATGGGGAGGTAGATTTAGGGTTTTTTTGTGGAACGAGCGGATAACGGCACGGGTAGTGAAATTCGCGCAGGTTGGAACCTTAATCGACTATGTACATGTTCAGTAGTCGATAAAGTTAATCGACTATGCTCTGATAGTCGATTAAGGTTGATCGATTCCAAATTTTTTATTTTTTTTCGATTTTTTGTTTATTGGTTCCATTTGTATAAATCAATTATAATGCTTGTATATTTTTTGTTTTTTTTTTTTTAAATATAGTTGATTTTACATTTTTGTTGCAGTTGTGATTTTTTTTATTAGCAAATTTTTAATCGACTGTGTTGATTCATCATAGCCGATTAATATACCTAATATAGAAAAAAAAAAATTTAAAAATAAAGAATTTCCTTCATCGACTATGTTTCATAGTCGATTTACCTTAATCGACTATGTTTCATACTCCATTAATAAAACTGATACACAAAAAAAAAAAAAAAAAAGGAAAAAAGGAAAAAATATATCCGCTGATGACCAGCGCGTGGCGCAATGATGATGTGGCGGGCAAGGGCAGAATTAGAAAAACTAATGGGTGAAAGTTGAAAATAGGTATGGATTTTTCTCAAATGGAGCAAAATATTTTGGGGATCTACCTATTAAAAGAAGTAATGAGGGGGTTTTCTCAAAAAACACCAAATAAAAAACAATGTTTTTATAAAATCCCGTAATTAATAGACCTTTTTAGAGATATTACAATCTACACCCTAAGTAAATAATATGCTTACAATGTGACCCCTGAGCGTAATTTGGTCCATAAATAATAGTTTCGGATGAGAATCCATGAAATCAAAAAAAAAATCCACTAATATGAGAAGGATTTTCGTAATTAGATCTCACCTTGTGCGTTTCTCGTTATTTGCCCAATTAATTATATTAACTTCAATAATAAGTAATTAAATCTTAAAATTGGGGAACATCACACGTGTTTCTTTCTTGTAGATTTAGGGGAATCCTTTTAAATACAACTTTGATTGTTTTGAGTATTCATTCATTAACTTATTGCAAAAGATTTCTCCCTAATTCGATCAATCAATCAATCAATGGAGTCGCCGCCAGAATCGGAACTTCTCACCATGCGTCAAATCCGAAACCGCCGCCTCCGTGAGGGTTGGTCCACTTCCTCCCAGAAGAAGAAACGCACCAAAACCACCACGCACAACGGCGGCGGAGCAACTGACCTCCACATTGATGAGTCCAACAGCGGCGGCGCAATGGCCGACGTCTCCTTGTCACTGGCGAGCCACGTCATCACCGCCTACGCCAAAGACAAAAACCTCGTAATCTCGCCGCTATCGATCAACGTCGTATTGGGCATGGTTGCTGCCGGGTCGAATGACCCGACCCGGGACCAGATTCTGGGCTTTCTCAAATCCAAGTCCATCGAAGAAATCAATTCATTCTCGTCAAAGCTCGCCACTCACGTGTTCGCCGACGGAGAGCCGCTCGGTGGGCCCCGTTTGTCCACCGCCAACGGCGTCTGGATTGACCAGAGCCTCCGCCTAAAGCCCGCTTTCAAAGAAACTGTCGAGAATTCTTACAAGGCTGCTTCTAATCATGTCGATTTTCAGACTAAGGTTAGTTTCTTTAACCCATCCTCTATTTGTTCCTAAACCCTAATTCTAATTTCACTTTGGTTACATATTTATTATATATTATATATACTAGAACCTCGATAAATTAATACTCGATAATTTAATAACCTCACTTAAATAATTATTTTTTCTGGTCTAAATTTTTAGTTCGATAATTTCATATTTCGCTAAATTAATTAAAATTTTGATGGTCCCGACTCTATTAATTTATTCATTAATTTATAGAGGTTTAACTGCATATCATATTATTATATATATTATTATATCAAGAGCTTATATTATTTCATAAAGGAATCTAGATCACTCCGTGGAATCAATATTGGGAATTCAATTATTTTAGTTGTTATGAATATCCAAACAAACAATTTATATGCTAATTAATTATTACATTGTTTTTATTACGTTGATCGACTTTCGAAGGCTGATGAGGTGAGAGAAGAAGTGAATGCATGGGCCGAAAAGGAAACAAATGGCCTCATCAAAGATTTACTCCAACCCGGTTCAGTCGATGCTTTTACTCGGCTTATCTTCGCTAATGCGGTGTATTTCAAAGGAGCTTGGATTCAAGAATTTAAAGCATCTTCGACTAGAGATCATAATTTTTTTCTCTTAAACGGAAGTTCCGTTAAAGCACCATTCATGAAAAGCTCGGAGGAGCAATACATTAGTGAATTTGATGGTTTTAAAGTATTGAGGTTACGATATAAACAAGGTAAAGATTATACGCGTACGTTCTCAATGTATTTCTTTCTTCCGGATGCCAAAGATGGGCTGACGGATTTGCTGGAAAAATTCGGCTCCGAATCCGGATTCATCGAAAACCACATCCCGGATGAATTAGTGGAGGTGGGCAAATTTCGAATCCCGAAATTCAAAATAGGGTTTAGTTTTGGGGTTGGGGAAGTTATTAAGGCACTTGGGGTGGTGCTTCCTTTCCGTGAGGGTAATTTGACGGAGATGGTTGACTCTGATATTGACGGGAAGGAACTGCGTGTGTCCGGGATAATACACAAGGCATTCATCGAAGTGAACGAGCGAGGGACGGAAGCTGCAGCTGCCACAGCTATCGACTATGAAGGTTGTTGTGGTCCTTCGGAATGTGAGAAGATATATGATTTTGTGGCTGACCATCCTTTCATGTTTGTTATAAGAGAAGATACGAGTGGGGTGGTGCTCTTCGTCGGCCAACTACTTGATCCACTTGCTAATAGTTAATATGCGCTAAGTTAGTTAGAATGTTGTTCGTAAGCGTCCGGTTTCAGTTACGTGAATTTTTTTTTTTAGATTTTTTATTTATTTAAAAAGACGATATTGATTATATCTCATCTCATGCATTAATTCACTTGTTGTCTTACTTCTTTGATTCATTCAGTCTTAGAAAATGGTAAAAGAGTTGATAGTTAGCTTATAATGCAGAATGTTGTCATATGTGATTTACCAACATTCAAGAATGTATTAAATCATGCCAACTAGTGAAGATGAATGTAATTTTAACTATAAATAAATATTTCAGGGATAATTACAGTACTTTTGGTTCCTATACTTACCAACTAAAATGATTTTCTTTGACAATTTTGGTTCGTTCGTTAAAATTGTTGTTAAGTTGGAAGGAGTCGACACGTACGCCTCATATGACATCTATTTAGCAGCCAAAAAATGAGTTTGAAGACACCCTATCACTCCTCATTTTTCTCTCTCCCCTAATCCCAAACCCAAATTCCTATTTCCTCATTCCATTACTAGCTTTATCCCTATCATGCACTAAAAATGGTTCTTTACTATGGTCTCATGTTCACAGCTGAGAAATACATATCAAGAAACTGGAAAAGAGAAGTCTATCAAGAACACAAAGTAAGCAAAAACAAATTTCCCTTCACTTTTCTGTAATACGAAAATAGCACGGCGCACGGAAAGTGGAGAACCTTTAATCTTTGTTTCTCTCTAACCTTTTCTGGTTGAATAGTGGAATGCCGTTGATAGGAAGAGAGGGAAAACCATGGGTATAAATCTGACTTGCAATTTTTTACAACATATCCCTTAATTGTTGACAAACTCTGTCAAGTATGTTTAACAACTGCAGGTAAACCTCTATAAATTAATACAGTCGGGACTAGCAAAATTCTATTAACGTAGCGATATATTAAATTATCGAACTAATAATTTAGTATATTTTCACCGAGTTGGGACCGGGACAAGCTATTATTTAACCGAGGTTATTAATTTATCCAATATTAATTTATCGAGAGTCTACCGTATTAATTAGGTGGAGGAAGAAATTTACACCAGCAATTAGGCTTGATCTTTTCCATGATGACTCTGAAGAAGTTATTTGTGTAGCTCTCTTGGTGAGCTGTTTGGTCACCTTGCAAGGTCTGTATCAGGCAATATGCAAGTTGTTCAATTTTTCCTCTCTCGAATAGGGGTGTTCATAAACCCGCCTGAAAGAATTTATGGTCCCGAATTCGTTTAATACAGAGATGTTATCTGAAGTGTTATGGCACTTGAGAAACCATGCAGCGGAAATATAAAGATAAAAGGACAATACTCAGATTTAAAAATGTTCACAAGTAAAGACTTGTGAACTTGCCCTTTACAGGACGGAAAAATATATTAAAACAGTATTCCAAGAATACAAACAGAAGAGGTGCGAAAACTTCTTCCTTATGAATGAATCATTCTCACGATCATTCTTACATTCAAATCTAGATACAAAAGGAGAAATATTAAAAATTCTAGATTTCAAAGAATGTACTCGTGAGGAGTACGTAAAGAACTTATGAATGAATCACTATCTTGATCATTCTTACAACCAAGTCTAGAAACATATATACTAAACAATCTAGACTACAAAGAATGTACTTATGAGAAGTACGTAAAGAATGTACTCATGAGGAGTACGTAAAGATTGTACTCATGAGTTGTACAACCAACCGATTCTAAGAACACACTAAAACACTCATGTAATCTTTTCAGCTCTCGGTGTTTATTTCGTAGAATCCGTCAATTTCCTTGAGTATTGAAATCGGTATTTATAGACATTTCAAGCTTCCACTCCTCAGCCCATGATCTGCAAGAAAACCAACTACAAGAGCACTCAAGAACATGGGTTAGTGGGTTAGTTAAGAAGTTAGAATAATATCCACAATTAAACCCACTAAGCACTACTTAACCCACTAAGCACTATACTTAACCCACTAAGCACTACTTGTTCCATAACTAAAATTTAGTTAGAAAATAAGAAAGTTAAAAACAATATGTGGAAATAATCCACGTGTTTCAAACTCCCCCTTTTTAACTTTCTGATCAAAACTAAATTTTAGCTTAACTCCCCCTGAGTCATTGCTTGAACTCCCCCTGAATATGATAACCAATATAGCAAATAACAAAATAGTGCAATCCAAAGTCTCCTCAGTATCAGCTGTTGTTCCTCCATCACTAGTACTGGATCTACTACTTTCCTCTGCTCCTTCAGCTTCACCTTGCTTCAACTTCATGACCAGCTTGTTCTCCCCCTTTTTGATCAGAAAGAGCTCTCTGAAGCATTTCCACCACGCACTGATGATAGGTGATCTGAACTAGGGAGTGAGTAAGCTGTTTTAACAAATAAAAAATCTCGAGAAACAGAAATAAGGATGTCAGGAGTGTTGTCAACATGAGGAGCAACACCTTCAGTACCAAGATTATTTTGATCTGATTCAGTTGAGAGAAAATTATCTCCATTCCAGGGAAGATCTTGGACATGAGGAGCTTTTAGAAAATTTTGAGAAACAGTGATCATGCCAAGTGGAGTGTGAAGATATTCTGATTCAGCTTGACTCAAATTTAGAGAAAGCAAAATGAAGTAGATGAGAGAGGGATTTAAAACGATTGCCAGAAAGAGTCTTACAAACTTCAGTAAAATCACCATAATTATCCTCATCAATCACAGTAGGAGTTTGTAAATGAGAGTTGATAATTTTGGGAGAAAAGGAGAAAATGAAATTTCGCACAAAAACTTTGCCAAAGTTTGGAGAATTTTTCTTTAAAGAAGAGGTTTGTAAATTGGCATAAAATTCCTTCAACAGAGGGATCATAAGGACAGGCAACCTCAACTAGACTAAGGATTTTTCTTTGATCAAGAAAAGCAGTGATCCTATGTCTATCAAACTCATCTTTGGAAATTTTCTTTTCCTCAATGAATTGGCAATTCATGATTTGAGGACTCAAATTTGAATCAGATTCAAAATAAAAGGTAGGACTGAAGGTATTGTTTACCTCAAAAAGGAGTTGACAGATCCTTCCCATCCAAGTCTGGTTCTTCTTCCTTCTGAGGATTCCTCATCTTCTGAGTCTTCAAGCTCATCTGGGATGTATGCTGGCTCAGGTGATGCAACAGGTGGGGCAGCATCTTCTTCCTTTTGAAAAGATTCCTTAGAAGAGTCACTGTCTGACTCCGTGGAGGGCAATTTTTTGCGAAAAAAGGCAAGGGGAACCTCCCAGCTGTCATCACATTTCTCTGGTTCTTCAGCCTGAGGAGGTGATGCATCCACTTGAACGGCTGCTTCTGCCAGAGTTTCCAGAGGGTCTGCATGTGGTGCTGAGGGTGTTTCTTCAGTGGTAGTGAAATCCTGAGCATCAACAGTGGGAATGTCAACATGCTCGGCAGAGGACATCCCAGAAAAATCAGGCATTTATTCATCCTGGTAGGGAGCAGTATCCTCAGCAGCACTCTGAGGGACATTTGCTGAGACAGTGGGTGCAGCAACATCTTCTGGAACACGTGCAGCAACACCTTTAGAAACAGGATGTTGAGAGGCTGCTGCTGCCATGTTAGGTTGAGATGTCTCCCCCTGAGTTGATGTTGAGGGAGTCGAGTCTTCGGAAGATGACTCAGTGGAGCTTGAGGAGAGAGCTTGGGCTTCTGGTTCTGTAAAGATAGGATCTCATTCTTATCATCTGTTTCTTCATCAACCAAATATAGACCTCTTGGGGGATTTGGTATCTGCTGTGCCGAATTTCCTCATGTCTTTGCCGCCTCTTCTTCCATCTCTGTCGCCTCTGCTGTGAGAATTTCCTCCCCTTCGGCGTTGTGACCCAGTAGCATTCAGAGCTGGGAAGGGATTCATGCGATTGGACCGGCGAGTAGGAAACCTTCCTGGAGTGGAAGAGAGACCCAGGTTCTGAAAAACGTCTGGGTCAATCGGATTCAGCTCGTCGCCGGGCCCAATGAAGCTGGTCGGCATGGCTTCAAGGTTGACAGGATGAACAATGATGGCCAGATTCGGGTCTGCTGGTTCAGGTGCTGCAACATCGTTGTGGACATCACCAACGGCTGGAAGAGGATTCTAGGAGGAGATGCCATGATACAGTAGATAAAAAAAATTGCTTCTTGTACTTTTGATTTTTTAAGGTGAATTTTCGAAAAAGAAGCAAGAAATTTATAAGCCCTAATTTTTGCAGAAAAAATTGAAGTGGAGAAGGTGAAGAAGTGGTGTGCATTTTTCTTGGAGAAAGTGTGATTAAGGAGAATAACGGTCTATGTGGCAGTTTAAAACAAAACGTGACACATGGCATAATAAGGAGTGGACTTAGTGAAAGATAAAAGACTAACCCATGTACCCCATGACCCATATAAATAGTGATAATTCAATAAAAATAATAGTAATAAAAATAATAACAGTATCACTCACGAAATATTCACAAAAATAAAAAACACATCTATTAATGATTAATAGTGTGAGAAAAAATTGGCTAACAGGCATATATTTTATTATATATATATATATATATATATATATATAATAATTATTATTATTTTTATTTTTATTTTTTTTTTATTTTTTTTAACTCTTATTTTCAAGTCAAACAATTCACATGGAACATGATCAAGTGTTCAGTTTGAAGGTTCCTCAGATACTAAGATATGACTATCAAAATAGAGGAGTTTGACTTATGTGAATGTAATTGTTCTCTGAATGTTTACATGAAGCATGATCACGTTTCAAGGTGAAAGACTTCCAGTTACTTATTTAGAGAATAATCCATCACAGTGAAGTCATTATTTAAAGAAGCTATGCTTCAGTAAATTATGTTGCAGCTTAAGATATTGGATGAGGTGCTGCAACATATTTCAGGACATGTTTATTGAGTACACATCCCGAGAGATTTTCTGAGTTTAGAAAACCTCTCATAATCTAATGCCTTTGTAAAAATGTCAGCCAGTTGATCTTCTGTAGGAATGTACTTTAACCACACTATATTTTTCTCAACTATATCACGAATAAAATGATGTTTAATATCTATGTGTTTAGTTCGTGAGTGTTGAACAGGATTT